TATTTCAAATTTTCTTTTAAAAGAACTTCTACTCTAGAGTCATCTTATACCTGATCACAGTGTATTAGGAAATAAAGAACTAAATATGCTTAGAAACCGATGAGAAACCAAATATTTACATAAGGACATTAGACTAACTTTGTTGCGTGCATGTCAGTAAAAATGAAAGCAGTAGCAAAGAAAATTTAAAAACCAAGAAAGAAATGAAAACAGGTGAAATTTAATCTAACCTTTTTCAAAAAATGGACCAACATAATATTGGGAGCTTTTTACTACTGGAAGCAGACCCGTTATATTCAACCACACTGATTATAACTCAAAGAAGATAATACCCACAATCTTCTCATAACTCAAAAGTTCAACAACACAGCGCAAGAAATAAAGAAATAACCACACAAATTTCAAAAGCAAATAGAATATAAAGGTTTCCCGAGATAATGGATCATGACACCAAAAGGAAGCAACACGTATAGAAGCATAGACTGAAAACCCTGAATTCTAAGGAAATATAAAAATAAATCAATAAAACATCAAAAATCTGAACTTAGTGAAGACATTATCAAATCGAGAAATTGACATAATGGTGATGTTAAGATGGAGGCAAATGATCCAAGAAATCCAAGATTTTGAAGAATTAAAGAACAAGATCGCAGAAAGTTACATACAAAATAAGATTACGACACCATATCAGGCAATAACAGTAAATAAGCAACCATCAAAGATCAAATGCACAGATCGATTAGCAGCAGCGTGCTCACAGTCACAGAGAATAGTGTCCCTTGGGAGACTGCCAATGATAATATTTATGTAAATAGAGGAAAAAGTTAACAAGAACCTGTTTGGATTCGTAGGGGGTGAAGGGAAGTTAAGGGAAACTGAGTGAAGGGAAGGGAAGGGAAGGGAAGGGAATTCCCTTCCCCTTGGTTACACCCCAATTTGGGGGTAACAATTTTTATACTATTAGGGGGTGAACCAAGGTGAATGGAGGTGAATTAACTTCACCTCTTAAGTGTTCCCAAACAAGGTGAATGGTTCCTCTAACTTCCCTTCACCCTCATTCCCCTCAATCCAAACAAGCCCTTGTTAGGGCTTGTTTGGATTGAGGGGAATGAGGGTGAAGGGAAGTTAGGGGAACCATTCACCTCCATTCACAAGGGCTTGTTTGGATTGAGGGGAATGAGGGTGAAGGGAAGTTAGGGGAACCATTCACCTTGTTTGGGAACACTTAGGAGGTGAAGTTAATTCACCTCCATTCACCTTGGTTCACCCCCTAATAGTATAAAAATTGTTACCCCTCAAATTGGGGTGTAGGGATGGCAAATGGATGGTTTTGGTTGGGTTTTGGTTGGGTCATAAATGGGTGGGCACATTTATGACCACTTAACCATTTATGACCCATTTAGCACTTGCTAAATGGGTTGGTTCTCATCCACCCATTTACTAAATGGGTGGTTCATGGGTAACCCAATAACCCATTTAGTTATGATTATGATGCTTCTATATATATGTAAGTTTCAGGGATCTACTTGCAAACTTTCAGGGGTTTTTGGCAAACTTTCAGGGGGGTTTTCTGTAAACTTTTAGGGGGTTTTCTGTAAACTTTTAGGGGTTTTTTGTAAACTTTCAGGGGGTTTTCTGCAAACTTTCAGGGGGTTTTCTGCAAACTTTCAGGGGGTTTTCTGCAAACTTTCAGGGGGTTTTTTGTAAACTTTTAGGGGGTTTTCTGCAAACTTTCAGGGGGTTTTTTGCAAACTTTTAGGGGGTTTCCTGCAAACTTTCAGGGGGTTTTCTGTAAATTTTCAGGGGTTTTTTTGTAAACTTTTAGGGGGTTTCAGTAAACTTTCAGGGGTTTTTTTCGAAACTTTTAGGGGGGTTTCTACAAACTTTCAGGGGTTTTATGTCAACTTTCAGGGGGTTTTTTGTAAACTTTCAGGGTGTTTTCTGTAAACTTTTAGGGGGTTTTCTGCAAACTTTTAGGAGATTTTCTACAAACTTTTAGGGGGTTTTCTATAAATATTTCTTTCTCAATTGAATCGACTACTTCAGAAAATTAGGACAGAATTGTGAGGAAAAGAAGCAAATGATGACGGGGCTGAGCAAAAGAAGAGATGGACTCGTAACAAGTCTAGTTTACTACCTGCTCGGTTATTTAAAAAAAGCCCTTACTTTGGTCATGTGACAAATTACACTTGGCCGCATACGCATATATCTCCTGCCGACGAAGAATTATGAGCGCCTACTTTTTATATTTATATATCATTGAGTGTGTTTTTTATAATTTTTAAAAGTTTGAGGGTGTTACTTGTAAATTTGATATTTATAGGGGACTACCGAAATTTTTTAGATTTCATGTGTCATTTGCAAGTTTAGAAAATTCTAAGATTGTTTTGTAGTTTTGAATTCTTGAGGGTGTTTTTTGCAATTTTTAAACTTTGAGGGTGTTTTTTGTAAATTATAAATTTACAGGGGGTTGCTAGTAATTTTTGGATTTCATGTGTCATTTGTAGGTTTTGAAATTTCAGGATGGTTTTGTAATTCTAAACTATGCAGGGTGTTTTTCTAAAAATTTAAAACTTTGAGGGTGTTAATTGTAAATTTTAAATTTATAGGTGACTATTGAAATTTTTTAGATTTCATATGTCATTTGCAAGTTTAGAAAACTCTAAGATTGTTTAGTAATTTTGAAGTCTTGAGGGTGTTTTTCTCATTTTCTACAACTTTTAAGGGTGTTTTTACAAATTATAAAATTTCAGGGGGCTGTTGGTAATTTTTGAATTTCATGTGTCATCTGAGGTTAGAAAATTTTGATAGTTTTTTTATAATTTTTAACTCTTGAGGGCGTTTTTATAATATTTTAAACTTTGAGGGTGTTTTTTGCAAATCTTAAATTTTTAAGGGGTTGTTAGTCATTTAAGTGTTTTCTATAATTTTTAACTTTTGAAAATAAGTTTTGTAATTGTTTAAGCGTTGAGGGTGTTTTTAAAACAATATCCATCTAAACGGGTAAATGGGTGGGTAATAACCCACCCATTAATGACCCATTTATCTTTAATAGAAACTATACCCACCCATTTATGGCCCATTTAACTAAATGGGTGGGTTTGGATGGTTCATTTGGCGGGTGGGTATGGGTGGACAATTGGTTTTGGGTTCATTTTGCCATCCCTATTGGGGTGTAACCAAGGGGAAGGGAATTCCCTTCCCTTCCCTTCCTTTCTCTTCCCTTCCCTTCACTCAGTTTCCCTTAACTTCCCTTCACCCCCTACGAATCCAAACAGGCCCTTAAGGCTTGTTTGGATTGAGGGGAATGAGTGTGAAGGGAAGTTAGGGGAACCATTCACCTCCATTCACCTTGTTTGGGAGCACTTAGGAGGTGAAGTTAATTCACCTCCATTCACCTTGGTTCACCCCCTAATAGTATAAAAATTGTTACCCCCAAATTGGGGTGTAACCAAGGGGAAGGGAATTCAATTCTCTTCCCTTCCTTTCCCTTCCCTTCCCTTCACTCAGTTTCCCTTAACTTCCCTTCACCCCCTACGAATCCAAACAGGCCATTAATGCTGTGTTTAATTTTAGAGAAAGTGAGAGAAAAGAAAAGAAAGAGAAAGAGAAAAGAAAAGAAAAAGAAATGAGATTACTTTTGACCTTTGGTTTGCTAGAAATTTGTAAAGAAAGTCTGAAGGAAAATCATAAGGAAAGTAATTATTCTGGTTTGGTTTCTCTTTTTTTGAAAATAGAATGAAGTTATATCGCACTATACATTTTGGAATTATATTCGTATTTTAAATAATTTAGCATTTTATTTTCTAAATTTTTGAGCTTTATATTTCACACAAGTACACACAAATTTCTTCTAATAGAAAATATGATATTTCACATAAATGGATTAAATTGCTTCAACAATAAGCTTATAGTAATGATTTTATATTTGAAATACAAAATAATTTGTAATAAGTAATCATGGATGTTGAACAAGTAAAATTTCAAGCTTTAGATTTCACATCATTTCTTTTATGTTTTTTTAAACAAATTAAATAGGAGAAAGTCACTCACGTGCTAATTTTAGAACTTTTTAATCCTTGATTTTTAAATTTATTGTTAAAACTATCGTAATTCTATTTTCAATCTACCCCTATTCTATTATAAAGTAGGATTTTGATAGGTTTACTAATAAATTTAATAAATATTAAGAGTTAATACAATCTAAAACTAGCCATAAAAATTTTCAGGGGTAAGTTTTCGCATTCACAAAACTGAGGGCATTGAAGTGCAAATTTTTAAAAACTTTAAGGTCTATAAGTCTTGGAAAAAAAACAATTGAGTGTATATAAATGCAAAGTAGGGAAAACTATAGTGTGTTTCGGTGCAATTAAGCCATCATTTTATTCATAAACCTGCAATTATATTATTTAGTCCACGAGGGCCCACTTAAAAAAAGGAGCAGCGAATATGCCACGTGTGCCTAAACCTGAACATACCACTCTGATAGTAATTAAACAGGGTCCCACATGGAGAAAAGGGGCCGCAAAGGCTCACCAATTTTTGGATCGGGCACAGCTGATGCTCTCATCTTCTTCCCTGACAATTTTTTCTGTCGTTTTCACTAGGCTCGAGCGAAGGAAACTAAGGGGCTGTTTGGTTCCTTTTTTTTGGGTGGTAAAAGTGGGGAAAGCTGTCAAAAATGTCAGCTTTTTGACAGCTTTCCCCCAAAATCACCCCTTAAAAAAGTGATTTTAGAAGAAAGCTGCCAAAAAGCTGACATTTTTGGCAGTTTTCTCATCTTTTACCATCCAAAAAAACCTATCCAAACAGCCCCTACATAATTTCTCTCATTTTCAGTTTCTTTTTGCTTTTCCTTCAGTCCATACAGTGTAAACTTAGTTTCTCTCTCATTTTATTTTCTTTTTTTATACCATTTTCATTCAAACCAAACACAGCCTAAAACCAAAAGAAAACTAGGGGAAAACAGCATAGATCGAAGGAGGGACTATAAATCTCACCTAGGGTTAGCTCCATCTTGTTCCTGAGATGTCGAGTTGATGTTGGCTATGGCGATCTCCAAAAATTTCGAAATCAAGAAGAGAGAAATGTTAGGATTTGGGTTTTGAAAGAGAGGGGGAAAATGATTTGTCATATACTCCTCTATATTATAAAAAAGGCTCCTAAGAATTAGGGTCTTTTTTGGATTGGGTATTTTGAAGGTGAAAAGAGGGAAAAGCTGTCAATTTGTCAGCTTTTTAGCAGCTTTCCGTGATTTTAAGGGAAAGCTGCCAAATTGGCAGTTTTCCCCCTCCTTTCTCCTTCAAAATACCCGATCCAAACAACCCCTTATTGTTCACGCTATATTGTTCTTGCTATAGTAAATACTGTAGCATAACAGTAAATCCTGTAGCAGAACAGTAAATCAAATCTGGTCCTCTGCCCTAGAATTTATTGATCGTACTACAGTATTTACTATAAGATAAATAGTTAATCAAATCTGCTCCTCCATACTTGAATTTATTATTCATGCTATAGTATTTACTGTATTATAAACAATAAAGCAAATAAAATGCATTAAAATTGGATCCTTCTTTAAGTATAGAGGAGTATATATGATTTCTAAATCAAATATATTAAAACTTGGATCATTCTTTAAATATAGAGTAGTAGATATGATTTCTAATTTTAAGCAAATAATAATTAAATCAAATGTATTAAAACTTAGAGGGAAACAAGTTTAAAATGCAGTGCTTAAAAAAATAGAGGGTCATGATTTACACGGGGTGCACACTAGTATATCACAGAACAAACTCAGTAGGGCCGTTCACCGTCTAGCAATGAGGAGATATTGAATGAGAGAGCACGAGGGAAATGTCTTTCTTAGGGATATTTTTCACATAACCCCTCTAAAAGTTAAGGTATCTCCGTTAACATCTCTAACCTTCGGAGTTTTCCCACTGTACCCGGACCCCTGACGTCTTACCGTTTATAGGGCATAATCAAATGCCCATTTTAAGAATAAACCTGAAATTTTGACGGTTTTGTTTAGCACCCTTACAAAAATGAGCCAAAACCAATACTGACCTAGTTTTGTTATAGTTTTTTTGAACCAACCACCCCTTGGTCTACAAAAGAACTAATTTAGGATCACTTTTTCGTCTAGGAAAAACCGGTCTAGTTTTTCCCAAACACAATTCTCCGAAATGGAATATGACCAAACCTAGTTTTATTTTAAGAAGATGCCAAAGAGACCCTAAATTCCTATTGGAACACTTAAGTATGCGTGAAATCTGAGCCACTAGAAAGAGTAGGGAAATTTACTAAATTATCCTTCCACTAGCCCTAGCGCTCCTATCAGAACGCACCGCACTGAGCGAGCGAGCTGATAAGATTTGTACACTTAAGTTTCAATCCTAGTCACAAACTCTTCCAAACCAAAGATAATTGAAGAGCATCATGCATCTCTGCCCTTGTATGTCAAATGATTGGCACGTGTTGTGTTCATTTGAGAGGGACATGGTTAAAGTGAGACAAGTTCATGAGGTTAAATGTCAAGGGTATATGTGCAAAACCTCCGAAGTACATGAGTGTTAAGTGAAATTAACCCTTTTTATTAGTGCCTCAAATCATTAAATTAGTATTAAGTTGCCAAATTCTTTTAAGTTGTCATAATATTACTTCCTCAAATTAGGAGACAACAAACAGTTGGTATGGTCATTTTGTCTTTTTTTATCGGCTATATTATCAGATTGGTATAATTAAGTATCAACTTGGTATTTTTTTCTTACTCGGGTGATGATAATGTAAATAAGTGGGACACGACAGCAACAAGATTTATTTTTTGGCTGGAGCAAAAGTTCTGACAAGATCACATCACGTGACTCATCATGTGCATCTTACATGGCTTAATTAGGTTTATGGGCAAAGGTTAAGCGGGATCTTCAATTAATTGTTATGAAAGAAATCCTCAAAATATTCCCCGTTCTCTCTTTAAAGAATGATTCTTCTCTAAATCACATAAATTTCCTAACCCAGTTTCAATTACCCTAACTCAATTTTAATTCTAAGAGGAAGAAGGACATCCAATTTGATTCTTGTCCTTTTGAGTCCTAATATGAAAATAATAATAATAATAATCAACTCAAATGAATGAGCTCAGGTACCTACCATGTAAGTAAACACATCAGCAACATGTAACGAATCACGTGATGTTTAGTCATCGGAAATTTTGGTCATGCCAAAAGAATAGATCTTTATTGTCATAATGTCCCACTTTATATACATTATCATCACCGGAGTAAAAAAAATATACTAAATTGATACTTAAGATCAACAAATTATATGAATATGATATTGAGCCTTTTTTCCCCAGAACAAATTGTGGCATATTCAAAGTTGAATCGAAATGAACAAATTGGTTCTGTTCGGTAGACCGATCAAGCAAAGTGTTATTTTAGCCATATAAATCTTCAATCCTCTCGCTTATCTTATAACTCATCAGATCAAGTACTTAACGAAACTGAATTTTGAATTTTTACTAATTATGATGCATAAAATCCTAGTCTGAAACATCTTCGCACCTAACAAGAGCTTGAGTTTTAGAGAATTCTCGCTGAAGCAATCAATTACTTAAACCGGTTTAAAAATATTCTAAAATTGGTCCTAAATAATCTCAAACCAAATTGAACCGCCAAAATGAGGTCGATTTGGTTCATTTAATCGGTTCGCCTATTGATGTTAATCCCTACCTCCAATCATTAATTTGCCATGACACTTTCATTTCTTAAAAAAAAAATTCAAATTAATATCTCCAATCAGTAGTAGCGGTAACAAGATATAAGAATTTGGTTACCTAATAACATTTTTAACTATTTGAGATACTAGTTTTAGAAAAAATATATTAAAATAAAATAAAATAAAATAAAGAATTAAGGGACTAATATAAAAAAACCAAGATCTAACCATAGGTAACTACATGAACCTATTTTAAATAGCCCAGATGATGTGACTTCCTTTTTTTAATGATATGAGAATAGAAACCGAGACCTTGGGAGCCATATTGGGATCTCCCAAACATCCATATCACCCCACAGTTCCCATGACTAACTCAGTGTTAAATTCAACGATTTGAGTACTAGTTTCAAACAATTGAAGATTTAAGCGACCAATATCGAAAATAACCCCAAATTAAAAATATGATAGGTTTGAAGTATATATCCGCAAAAATCCCCACAATTTATTTTGATATTAGGTTCTTACATCTTTCATATTTTAATCTTAGTCATCATATTATTGAAATTGCTGTTAGATCCTTAAATTCTCATAAGTTGTTTCAAATAATCTCTCTAATTATAATTTTACTCATAATTGGAGGGAGTAATTTCAAAATAACTTAAGAACTGAGGGACCTATTAGCAATCTCAAGGACATGAGAGACTAACCGTGAGTTAAGGAATTGGGGGGCCTAATTGCAATTTCAATGATTTTAGATACAAATTTCCAAAATGGGTAAATTGCACTTAACCCTCTGAACTTTTGGGTTTTCTCACATAACCCTCATCAACTTTTTTTTTATTCTACTTAACCCTCCTAAACTTTTGTCTCACTTAACCTCCTATTATAACACCGTGAAGTTTAACAGATCACATACCTATCACGTGAGAAAAATGGACGAAGCCCTTAGTTCTTGAGAAACTACATCTTTATCCTTTTTTGACTTAAAGATCCATTCCCCCTCATTTTACCCTTCTTCCTCCTCCTCCAGCACCACATATTTTAGCCCACCAACTCCTCAGCTTCAATCTATTGAAAAACCAATCCACAGACCCCCAAAAGACCACTCTCACTTTACCAATTTTTGGTAAAGCAATCTATGGTTATTCTCACATTTTCTGGACTAGACAAAAAGAGATAGCAAGAGGACAGAGAGGAGTAAAAAGAATTGGACTTACCCTTTAACAACCATTATCTTTGATGGACGTGATTTGGAAGTAGGGTTATTGTGGGGCCAAAATAGGGTTTATTTACCAAAAAAGGCAATTTTGTCATTTCCTAATTTTCAGGTAACACTTTCAAGGGTGACTTGAAAATACTTAAAAATTCAGGGGGGTGTTATTACATGGGTCACCCGAACAAATAAAGTTGAGGGGTTTATGTGGGAAAAATATACATATGTGTTCTTTTCGAGTTAAGTAATTAAGTAAATTAAGAAAAAGTAGTTAATTACTAAGAATTGAAAAAAAAATGCATATTCTATAGATCTCTTGCAGGAAAAAGATAATATTCAATTTAGAGTTGTCAATTATATCCTTTATGAAAAAGAAAAGTCAATTCGAGGAATTTATCACACAAATATTCAACTTAGTTCAGAGTCCCCTAGTCTCAAATTGGGACCAAGAAACAAAATGATTCTTTAGAAGAGGGGGTTAAGTGAAATTTACCCTTTCAAAATCATGTGTGAGCAGAGAAAGCAAACCGAGGTACCAAAGACCTAATCAGAGCCCACCTCCCCCCACCCTCTTCAAAGAGTGGAGACTCTCTCTCCTGTGTCTCGTTCTTGTTCAACAAAACCAATTCAAAACCCCCAAAATCTCCCCCTTTTAGCCCTAGTCCTTCAAAAAAACCACCCATTTGCGCCTCTCTCTCTCTCTCTCTCTCCCCCCCTTCTCTCTCTACTGCGAATATGAGCGGGTCTTCTTCTTCTAGAGCTTCGATCCCCAGCGGCCTTCGAAAGACGATCCAGAACTTGAAGGAGATCGCCAAGAATCACAGCGATGACGAGATTTACGCAATGCTCAGAGAGTGCTCCATGGATCCTAACGAGACCGCTCAAAAGCTCCTCCTCCAAGGTCCTATTCAAACCCTTACTCATCCTTCTTCAGCTTGATTTAGGTTTTGAGATAGGTTTTCGATCATAGTAGCCCTTTGTCTCTAGATCTGCTTGATTCCCGATTCTTGAGTTCGATTTGTTGGGGTTTGGTAATTGTTTGATTTGGCATACTATTCAAAATCGGGTCGGTTCAACTTGTAGCTGAGATTGTGCAGAAAGCGAGGATGGTGTTGTAACATTTCTTAATCGCTCTTCTCGAAGAGAAATTTGACCCTTGTTCTGAAATTGAAAGAGTTCTTTTGATGCTCACAGATGTTTTTCTCTTGATTCATGCTCTTAAATATTGATATGTTTTTATGAAGATTTGGTGAATAACGGAGTATTGGCTATGTTGTTTGTCTCGAATGTGCTTACCTTTTAATGGACTCAAGAGGTTAAGATTCTGATGAAAT